TATATATATATATATATACATAGAGAATGAATGCATGAATGAGTGAAAAAGAAAATAAAAAGGGAAAATGAACAGAAAAAGATGAAATAGATAAATGAGATCTGCATGTGAAGAATGGACATTAGTGTTTTCTTTACAACAGTAACCATTTAAACTCTCTTTTTTTTTTTCTCTCTCTCTCTCTCTCTCTCTCTCTATCTTTTCTCTCTCTTAGTAACAAATGTATACAGGTAGGATGAATGGCAATAGTGACTATCGAAGAGCCTCTCACGAAACACCAACACGGCTCCAACATCTACACAACCGCCAACAACACTATCATCCGAGAGAAAAACAACAACAAAGAGAAAGAGAAAGAGAATGTGAAAAGTCAAATGGCATCTTTTCTCTTCTTTCCTATCGTCCTGTTACCTCCGATCGGCATTCCACTATAAAGAGATTGGATTCTCCCAGGGGAAATGCCCTTCAACATCTTGTGCTCTCTCCACTGCACACACCGCGAGAGGGAATACCTCAACAAACAGTAAAACGATCCCTTTTGGGAACTTCTTCTTCTTCTTACTCTTCTTTTTCCCAGCGCTTATCGGAATTATCATCACCTCTCTCTGTTCCTCCCACACTACAACGACAATCCCATAAATCAACACAACAGCAGAAGTCTCTTATTTCTTCACTTCCTCCTCATACAACTACTCTCACAGTGAATACCAATGGCAATAACAGGAATTGTGTAGTACCCATATCCAAACAACAACCATGTACAGTATCTTTACTGTATTCTTCTTACATGGCAGCAGATCTCATGGACTGGAAAATGAAAAGACGTCATGATGATATTGGCGCAATGGTGGAATTATTATCACTTCTAATGGATAGGGAAAAAGAAAATCGTCTTTTTATTTTACAAGAAGAAGCTGAAAGACGTAGAACTCTTCAATTCATTGAAATGGATGAGAGAGGAGCTGCATCTTTTTACTCTAATGCCCTTTCGGCAGCGTTATCAAGTTTATCCATTTCTCTAGGCAGAAGAAGAAGAAGTACTGATATAATGTACATGCCCCAAATGCAAAATAATTGTTTTGACTTAAAATCACATGCAACTGCAACAAGCATAACTACATCATCAACAACCAAAAGAGACCCTTCTTGGCGAAATGTTAATAAGCGAAGGAATATAATGGATGAATACGATAGTGATGAGTTCGTTAGAACATCCTCTGTTTCTGCCGTTATGAGCGATGCGGATCGAAAGTTAATGTTATCTGATGAAGAACTGGCATCTCGTGAACTTATTACCATTGTAGAAGAGGGCCGCCGTTCACTTCTCTTAAATGACCCTAACGTCAATGCATGTAGTCTTAATAGTGGCTCTCATCTTAGTGGAAGAACAGACAGTGATGAAAGGGATGATAATAATAAAAATAATAATTCTGATGATTATGATAATGATGACGATGATGATGGTGATATGGGAAAGTTTTTCATTGGTACTTCACAACCTAAGTGGTTAAGTCAAGGAACAAATAATGCTCACGATAATTATGATTATGATGATGATGAAGAAGAGGAAGAAATAGGACGGCGGCAAGACGAAACAGAAACAGATGAACAGAGTGAAAGAAAAGATAATTGCTCTTCCCAGGGATTTATGGCTGATCCTGATGTATACCAGCGGTATTGGGAGGATCGCTGGGTCTCTGGTACACCTGAGCAACCCGAGTATACGGCCCCTACAGCTATACCCCGAGAGGAATTGCTGCAATGGCGAGATGCATCCCGTGAGCAGGAACAACAAGAACAACTAAACCGACAGAGTTTGATACTACGTGATGAATTCGATATGGATAGTTTTCGACTTGCCGAAGAAGAACGCCTGAAAGCTTTACTAGAGGATCTTCTTCTTGAGGAGCGCCGGTCGCGAGAGGCACTTTTATTATTGCAGGCGTCCGATGCCTCGCGGCTGGCGGAGCAGAGTGCGGCCTTGTGGCACTCGCGGCGTGTGCAGGACGTCATTGCGCGCTGGTCGGATAATGTTGTGCGGGAGGAGGAGGCGGCGCGTCGGCGTATCTGCGGGGATTTCGAATATCAACAATCGGGATTGGCGTCGGAGGTGCAGTCGCCGTTAACACCGCACCGAGTGCGAGTGGGAAGTGAGCGGCGGGAGCGCCATGCGATCTGCAGTGCCTTCTGCGAGGGAATCTACGCTGCGATGACGGCTGCGGTGGAGGCCGTGATGGAGGAGGAGCGGGAGGAACGGCTGAGGCTGGAGCGGGCAGCACAGCCAAAGTATACACAGATACTGTGGGAGATGGAGTTGATGGGAGAGAGACAGGAATTATTACTGGAGGAGATGAGTGCACGTAAGGCGGTGGAGTATAATGAAGTGGGACAGTGGATGGATTTGCGGGTCCTGCGGGATCTACAGAGGAATCAACTACTACACACACGTGAACAATCAACATCATCTAATGTTGGTGTTGGTGTTGGTGTTGGTGGATCTGTAGAAAGAGTAAGAGAGATGAATGTACAGTCGCATGAAAGTTCATCTCACAGTGGTTTTGTCTTTGGTAGTGTCTCATCCCAATCAACTATTTCAGGACAGATTGAGTACGAAACAGACTCTACATTCTCATCTCCATCCATAGAGATGGAGAATGATGACATTGTGCCATTCAATAAAAGCCATAACTGGCAAGGCACAACATTATCATTATCACCATACTCACCATATACACCAATGGTAACAGCAGCCAAGAGAGGACGAGGAGAGAATGTGATGGCATCCATAGAAAGAGAAGAACGTAAAGAACGTGATGCCATTTTCGCTACATGGTTGAGAGGTTTTGATAATTTGATGGAATTAGATGTGATGGGCACCGAAGAGTTAAAACGTACAATTTTTTTTTGTAATGCAATTACAAGGAGTAGGGTTCGCTCCAATTAGTAGTATTAAGTGACCGGAATAAGGTCTTAGTGAGTTTCGGAAAGAAGAAAATGAAGTGATCGCATCGCAAGTGCAATCGTTGCTGCTTGCTGGTAGCGACGCTCTTTCATTCTCTAGTGACATATTACACAATTTCTTTCCATGCAAGAGTAAAAGTGAAAACAGTGAACATTACATACATATTATTATTGTTATTATTATTATTATTATTATTATTATTATTGTTTCGTGTATTATTATTATTATTATTATTATTATTATTATTATTATTATTATTATTATTTTTTCCTATTTTTTTTATTTTTTATTTTCCTTTGTGACTACCTTGAGAATGAAGTAAGTTTAAAAATGAACTCAGCATTGTGAAATCACTTGACATGACTCAGTATTTGGCGTATATATATATATATGTACATATTTATAAATGTATTATGTATGAGTTTCTTTCTTTATCTCTTTCTCTCTCTCTCTCTCTATGTGTGTGTGTGTTTGTATGTTTTTGTTTCGTTTATTTTTGAATTTCCTTTTTTTTCTGTTTTTTTTTTTTTCTTTTATTCTATGGTATTACTTAGATAAAGGGGGTGGAAGGTGGGGTGTGTTGATTGAGGTTTATATATATATATATATATATATATATATAGAAAGAAAAAGAAATGACACTGCGCCGTGTACGTTTTGTTCCTGTTTCACTCACAGGAATCCTTCGCCGTAGTGGCCGCTACTGCAGCACTTCTTCTTCAACACCAACCACAACCACTTCGACTTCAGCAGCAACGACACTGTGGAGTGTGGATTCCGCTGCAACGAGGGAGAAGAAGTCTCTCGCTAGCGTAGAGGATATGTTTGGACAAGTAGAGAGTGAAGAGAGCAACACAATGAACTCTGCTGAGGCCGCAGCCCGCCTCACGAGCAGCACACATGCTGTGGATGAGGCATTATTTGATTGGGAAGATGAGACCAGCAGTGTCGCTGAGGGTCTGCGGGATTTGTGTTTGGAAAGTGTCATGAACGCTGCGCTGGGGGAATTACACACTGCGGATGAGATCGCAGGCGTGAGTGAGATCAGTAAAGGCATCAGTCATAGTGGGAATAGAACCAGTAATCTTATTGCTAATGGTGATAGTGATAGTGATAGTGTTGATGATGATAAGGAGGATGATAGTGAAGAGGCCGATGATGGTGGAGGAACTATCATGGGGCGCACAGATGATGTTGGCATGAATGATGAAAGTACAACCACCAGAGCAGCAGCAGCAGCAGCAGGAATGGGATCTAAACTAGATGCGGTGAATGTTGAGTATGATAATGATGAGGAGGACGCATCAAGTCTTCTCATTGAGGAAGAAGAAGAACAGGTGGAAGAGTTGCTTCGGGCAGCTCAAACCTCTGAGACGGCTTCGGCTCTTTTCTTTAAGGACCAAAAGCATAAAAAGACTTCTGCAAAAACAACAACAACAGCAACAGCAAAAACATCAGCAGCAGCAGTAGCATCAGCATTTGATGATGCTGCAGCAGAGGGAGCAGAGTTGGAATCTGTGGGTGAAGTGATGCCATCACCGCAGCGCGTATGAGAAAGAAAAGGAGAAAATTAAAGAAAAAAAAAAAAAACAAACAAACATCATCGTGATAGAATATTATATCCGAGAATGAGAAAAATAAAAAGATTTTTCTTTTTGGCAAACGTGCCAGGAATACATTTTGTTATTGTTTTTCTTTCCATTTTGCCTTTGGTCGTTGTTATTCTCAGTAGAATAGGTTCTACCTTGTCTATCTCTCTTTATATAAATATAAATATATATATTTCTTTTCTGATGATTTTTCCTTCTTTTTTTCTCTGGTGTGTTGATACTCTTGATGTTCTTCATTTCAAAAGAGTCTTTTCTCCTTTTTGGCAGCTGCAACAAGGAGGAAACCACCCCCTCTCATTATCAAGGCAGTTGCAGCGCCTAGGTGAATATCGGCAGCGTATACTGTTATTGTGGCTCACCTGTGAGGGGGTTGATATTATCGGATAGGAAAGATACGGCATAATAATCACATTAAGGGAGAAGAAGAGAGAATAAATAATAAAGTAGTTTCATAACGAATGATTCGCATTCACCGTTTATGGACTCAGAGTGGGTCTCATGGGAATCATAATGGTATTATGAATGGTCTTCGTGTTCCTCTTTCTCGCCGTATTTTGCAGGGTAACTGCCATTCATTGGGTGCTTTTCTCATCACAGTGCGATGTGTGCAGTACGAACGTACATCTGAAACACTTCGAGGAATTAATAAAAAGAATCGCACCCTCTCAACACCATGGATTACAAAAAGTACAAAAGACTATATGACCGAGGAGGATGCGCAGGTGGCATCTGTTAATCCAGTTAAAGACAAATTGAGACGAAATTCAAAGGAACGTAAAGATCGTTTTCTACGAGTTGCGGAGGAAACAGACCGTATCTTTGATACTGAAATGGATAGAATGCGTGATTATAATGTGCGACGATGGAAAAAAGGTATTACTTTTTTTAAGAGACAAGGTTTGGCATTTACTGTACTTTACATTTCTGCTTATTTACTATGCCTTGGTCTATTATATGTTGGGTTTGCCACAGGAGTACTTAAAAAGGAAGCAGCATATGAATTTATGTTCTTTTTTCTTGAGAGGTACATTGATAAGGAGATGTTTTACACACGAGTGGAAGCGTGGGGCAAATATATTGATTTTGGATTTGCATTTGTAATCAATGAAATGTTGGAATTTATACGTTTCCCATTTATGATTTACACTTTCTATACTTTTCGACCGTACTTGACGGGAATTTCTAGGCGCGTGAAACCATCATTGTTTAGATGGAATGCTGCAGAGTCATAAAATGAGACGACAACAATGATTGTCTCCCTATGACCAGGTGTATGTTTCCTTTATCATTTTTTTTCCTTTCCTTTCTCTCTCTCTCTCTCTCTATATATATATATATATAGGAGTTTTTATTCCTTTGTTTTATATCTATATTTGCTTTGGTAATGACCCCATTATCTCTCTCCTTCTCTCTATCTCTCTTTTTTTTTTCTTCTTTACCATTATGACCAGTGTAGTTGAAAGGCAGAGGATACACATAGGAAGAAGGAAATCCCCCCCACCCCCCACCCCTCTTCTTTCTCTATCTCTATATCTCTATATATTATTCTTGGATGTATTTCGGAACACAGCAGCGGCCACAGCCGTCGGCGTTAGGGACTCGCGGCTTCGCGGCGGAGGTGGCTGGCCGGGATCGCGTGCGGTACTTCCGGCGGCCCGTCGAGGCGCACCCCCCGCTGGGCGGGTACGTTGATGTCGGCTCCGTCCGCTTCGCCGCCAGCGCCCCCTCGACGCCGCTGCCGCTCGGGCCCATCGCCCCGGGCACTTTCCCCCACGCCGCCCGCCCACACCACCTCCCGGCCATTAAGAAGCGAACCGCAAAGAGAGAAGGGGAGTTCGGGCGCCGCACACGGAGCGCGACACCATCGGAGAGTGCAACGCTCACAGGCACAGGTGCAGGAACAGGCACGCGGGACGCAGGGATGCAGACCGTCTACAGAGAGAATGAGGCACAGACAGTGCCATATACACCTGCCTACCGCATCCCGGAAGGTGGAGACCCTAATCCACAAATTCTCGGTCTCAGTGAACTCAAATGGAATGATGGATTACCGGCCGGCATGGAGGAAGTGGAACTAATTCAGCGGATTCGGCGTCGTCGTGCAGTAGAAGCATCCCTCCCACCAGAAACAGATGCAAAGTCTGCAGAGATACGTCACTTGGCACTTTTTGAACTGGAGGAGCAGGAACGAAAGGAGAAGGAAGAGCATATGGAAAAGATACGTCAGCGTCGTCTTGATGCAATCCGTGAGACACTGGAAAAACGTGAAGCGGCACGTGAAGAATCTAACCGTCGAAGACTTGAGGCTGTAAAGGCACAAAAACTTGCAGATCTTCGCCGTGTAATTGAGAGGACAGAACTGCGGCGTATAGCAGCGGGACAGAAATCCATAGAGAAGGGAGCATCTAAGACATCACCTTCTCCAGCTTTGGGAATGTATGCGGTGGATCCTATAGAATCCTGCAAGAATAAAAAAGATCTTATTGAAAGTTACTCCAAATATGGAGTCGCTGCCGCTTTACCACAGATTCCAAGTAGTACTACTACTACCCCACCTCCACCAGTAGGACCATCTGATCATTTCCGTCATTACGATGTCCGCCCAACAATGCTTACTATACCAGAAGGCATTCAAGAATTGGAAACTACTAAAATACCACGAATTCAAAAATTACCACCAAACGCTTTTGTTGCCCCTGAAAATTATGCTATTAATTCTTTACCAACGCTTTACCAACGTCGTGAAGCAACCCGTGTAGTGGATGCACTAGAGTATGTTAATGCCAATATTCATAAGAGTGAATCCCCTGAAGAGAATATTCATGTATTGGAGTTATACCGTGCTACTCCTCGCTTACAGAGACCTGATACACCTGAACTTGAACTTGAAGGTGACGCCGAAGAAGAATTGGAGGAGGCCTGTGTTCTACTTCAACGTTTACTACGTGGTCGTGCTGTTCAAAATGACTTCTTTGATGGAAAGGAACGTTGTCGTGGACTTATTGAAGAATTACAAGCAGCATCCAATGCCAAATATGCGGAACGCAGCCCAGAAGAAAAGAAAGTGGAAGAAGATGCTAAACGACGTGAAGAGATTGCAGATAGCCTGGGTGATGAGGCACAAGGTGATATTATCTCTGAAACCCTTGATTACCTCTTTCATGAACTCACACGACAACAAGATCTCAGTGCACTGGAAGAACTTCGCCGTGAGGCAGAAGCCGTCCGTGCTGATCGTGAGGTTAAAGAAGCTGAACTCCGTACACAAGAACGTATTCTTCACGATAAGGAAGCTGTTCAATACACTGCTTACATTCGTGCTATTGATGACGTTATAGAGTGTTACACACATGAGCTCTACACTGGCTCAGCTGAAGAGTGTGCAATGGAGGAAGCAATAGACACAGAATGTAAACGTTTAGAGAAATTAACATCTTCAACTCCTAGCTTAGTAGACCCTGAAAGTACGGAAACTTTGGTATGTGACATGCTTGACAACTTTGTGTTACCTACAGTTGTAGATATGGTATGCTTAAAATCAGATGAGTTGGATCGAAAGGCACCCGCTGCAGCAGCAGCTGAGAGTTCCCAAAGTATTATCCCTCCGAAATAAGGAGTAACGATGTTGATGAAGTTGTAAAGTTGGTTATTATTTTTTTCTTTTTTTTTCTGTGTGTGTGTGTGTGTGTGTTTGTCTGTGTGAGAGAAAGAAAGAAAGATAAAGAGAATACCTCCCTTTTTACCCCCCAATATGGTGGTGGAGTAATCAGGAATAGCAAAGCCTGATGGTGCTACAATACAAATTGCAGTAGCCCAGAGCAGCAAGTGGCACAATAAGTGCTTTTGACTTTATGTACATGCAACGAAGCCTCAATTTGACAAGAACCGAAAAAGAAAAGAAAAAAAAAGAAAGAAAAGTACGGAACGCAAGAACGAAAAAAAAGAAAGAAGAAGAGATAACAGTAGAAAACTCATATGGTCTGAAGCGTTGTGAATGAGGAGGAGCAGTAAGCAGCTGACTCCAACTATGTATCATTGCCTCTGTTCTGTGCCACCTTTTTTTTTTTTTTTCTGAATTTCAAATATTTTGTAACAGAGTTCCACGTGAATTAAACTGTTCCGTTTGTTATTTTTTTCTTGTTTTTTTTTTTTTTTTTTTTTTTTTTTTTTTTTTTTTAACTTTCTGGTAATCTATATTTTGCTACTTCTTTTCCCTCTCTCCCCCTTTTTTTTTTCTTTTTTTCTTTTTTCCCATTGTAGAAAGTACGCAAAGGACGACTATATCAATTAGGAGGATGCAGGCTAGTACGATGAAGTCTCATGACTCACATGAACTGATGGTACCGGTGAAGCGTCAGCGGCAGGAGTGTGAATACAAGCGAAGAGCAGCATCGTTTGATTCTTTGGAAACAGGATCTTCTTTACAGCTCCAACAGAGAAACCATGATAATACACGAAACTTTGAATATGCCAAAAAGGATGAAAACAATAGTAATGACGGGAATAATTATGACAGTAAGAGGATTAGTAATTGTGGTGGTGGTAGAAGTGGTAGTATCAAGTCTTGTTCTTCTTCTTCTTCCTCCTCCGCTTCTTCCTCTTCTTCTTATTGTTCTTCTTCTTCCTACTCATCATCACAATCCTCACGATCTGTGTCTCCTGTTTCTCCTCGCACCTTATCACTTCCTGTTCGTATTGTCCGATGTATGGGGAGTGGTAACAATGGTCAAGTGTTCCTGGCAGAGAAAACAGATGTTGACAACATTTCACATAGTGAAGAACGTGAGGCGGCACCGCGAGTGGGGGAATCTCACACATTCAACAATCTTCAAACAGAAAAGGATGGAATGTGTGAGGGGACAGAAGCGGGTAGTGTGGCAAAGGCGGGAAACACTTCCATGGCGGTAAAATTTATGCATGCCTCATCTCGACACGTTCAACGGGAGTTATTTTGCCTCAACTACTTGGATAGATGCCGTGAAGAGATTGAGGCAAAGGAAGCAACAGAAGAAGAAGAACAAAACAAGAAAAAAATTTTAGATTCTGAGTTTCCATATAATCATTTTTTAACACTCACGTCTTTTTTTCCGCCCTCTTCCCCAAAACTTTTTTTCACTCAACAAGTAGGAAAAAATGTCGCTATAGGATTAGAACTCCTTGGACCTGATTTGTTTGATTTTACAGAAAGTTATATTTTACATGAGGAAGAACTCTGTCTTGTAGGAATAGAACTTTTACGAACTCTTAACACTATTCATAAACAAGGAATTGTTCATCGTAGCGTTAAGCCAGAAAATTTCTGTTGGAACACAAATGAACTCCTAAATTATGATGATGTTGATGCTGGTGAGAATAGTGATAACAAATATAATTATTGTCATTCTAGTAGAACTAAAAATTCTATTTGTTATCAAAAGGATGAAATGATGCAATATATTGAAGATACACCTTCTTTCATGTTTAAAATCATAGATTTTGGCCGTGGTACTCTCATTAATGGCTTATCATCACCATTAATAACATCTACATTGTATGAACGACCTTATAGAGGTTGGTGGCATAGTCTTCGTGGTTTCTTAGGAAAACCAATGGGACAAAAAGATGATTTAATGGGTGTTGTGCACACCATCGGTTATTTACTTGATGACTACATCAGAGAAAAGAGCCATTCCGCTCCCTCATCACACTCACCGTCCTTTGACAGAGTGGATAAAACCTGCTGCAATAATAATGCTACTGCTAGTACTAATACTACTAAAACCAATAAAACTGCTATTATTACTTCTCAGTTTTTCTCCTCCTCCTCCTCCTCCTCCTCTTCCTCCTCCTCCTCCTCCTCCCCTTCTTCTTCTTCCTCTTCTTCTTCTAAGAGTACCAGCGATCCCACCAGAGAGAGCTGTGCTGCAAATGAAGGAAAGTTGGGCAGTCATTCTCGGAATGTGATGGCATGTAATAAAGAGAAGGGTAAAAAAGCTCGACCTCGCTCGTACTCATCATGTCGACGTCGTCTCGCTGATAAGATCAGTAATGCATACCGAACTGCTTCCAAACGGTACCGCCAAACCCATCGCCTTAGTGGTAGAAGAGAAGAGAAGAGTACTGTGCAGAGAATGAAAAGTTATAAGGGAGAAAAAGTATGTAATACTACTGAAATGCGTAATGAACGACGTGCGTGGATTGTGAATCATGTTGAAAAAGAGTTTCTACCATCCATATTACCAGACCGCTATTATCCTACAACCATGCCAACATGGTGGGTGAAGTGGTTCACTGCTTGTAGTGAGTGGTGTTATGATGATACGGTGTCAGTAGAGGAGATGTCTGTAAACATGTTGATGGGTTTATATGAACAACTACACAAGTCTGGAGAGAGTATGCATGAAGTGCGACGGACCCTCACAGGTATGCTATGGAGTTATCTGAAGAGGAGGGACCCCTGAGGGGAGAGAGAAGAAAGAGAGAGAGAGAGTGAGAGAAAAAATAATACAAGTGAAATGGTTGAAGTTGACGATTGGTGGAAAAAGAAGAAAAAAAAAAAATAGGATAAAAAGGTTAAAAAGACAAAGAAAGGAAGGAATAAAAAAAAAAAAAATTAAAAAAAGCAGATTAAAGATGAAGTTTTTTTTTCTCTATAAAGTGTTTCTACACCCATTCTGTATATGTTCTTTTATCACTGTTATTATTATTATTATTATTATTATTTTTACGGATTGACTTGTTTGAAAAAAAATCATTATATACATATATATATATTGATTTCTCTTTTTCTGTGTTTATTTCTCTGTATGGGATCATTGACAAGATTCAGTATACAGTGTTTTGGTATTTCTTACCATTGTATGATTTCTTTTCTCTTTTTTCTTTTTTATAGTCTGCGTTTTGTGGTAGAGAGTTTTTCTTCCTTAGGCCAAGGGTTAAAAGAAGAAGAAAAAAAAAAAAAAATAGAATAGAGATCTATAAACTTATGCGGCGAGGTGAGGAGCGATCTAGTTATTCCGCCTTTGTGCCAAAGTTAAGTATTAACAGAAGCAGCGAGTCCTTTCACGATCCCACAAGTTCAGATCCCTCTGAGAATGAACGTCGCTTTCCATTTACAAGTGGTGATCCATCACGGGGTTGGCGGGCTAACGTGAGTAGTTTAGATAACAGTGGGCGAAATCATAATCGCAATAGTGACACATATGATCAAAGTTCACCAACACCAATCAATACTAATAGATATCGTGGTGTACAGTCAATGGAAACAGACAATAAGATGAGATATAAAGCGAGAGTAACAGAATCAGATGATGATATGCAAGAACAAAGTCATTATTTTAAAACAAGTGGATACAGTAATCGTAATAGCAATATGAATAATATGAACATGAGGAGTAGGAATGTTAAACCAAATGATAACAATACTGCTCCATATTTATCTCATGTGAATGAAAGCTTTTCAGATGTGAACAATCAACGAAAAAGTGGAAGTTTCTCTTATGATAACAACAAACGTTCTGGCTTTACACCAGTATATGTACATCGTGTACGTCGTTCTGAGGCGGAGCAGTATGCACAAGGTGATTTAGCCGATTCTTCTCTAGATGATTCCTCTTCTCAGAGTTCTTCTATAGGCACCACCTCATCTGGGAGAGAGTCTGTACTCTTTGATATGGATGCTGAGCCTGTTGTGCCGGTAGAGTTAATGTCTACATCTAAAACAGAATTCTTTGATTGGATGCGACACCCACGTCATGTTATTATAGTGAGTCTTCTGCGAAGTCGTGGTTTACTCGCATCTCGTTATGCAAATCTCGTTGAATACCACATGTCTGAGTTGTTTCTACATTACATTGATCTTTGCTTTCAGGGAGCATACTTTGTTCGTTATCAACTTAAATCTTCACCCAAAGAACGTTTTTTCGCAGTTCGTATGTTGCCAAGAAATACAGTATCGCGTAATTCAGAGAAAATTCCATACTTGGTATGGACATTACATCGTACAGGAGTTCAGGTGGTGGGATGTGTACCACTTGAACAACTTGTGGGGATTACCATCAATACACAGTCTGCCTCCTTTCGCCCACACTTACTTTCATCTCAATTCATCACGGGTCCACGTGTGAATAACCATCGTCTTAGACTTCCGATAGATGGGGCCTTTTCACTGTGGTTTTATGATCGCCATCAACGTACGACAATGAGTTTAGATCTTCTTACGTGCAACCCAACTGTGTTAGATGTTTGGACAAAGGCGTTTAAAGGGTTTGTGAGTGTGAATAGCTCTTCTGTTGTTCAGATGCCTTTGACAAGTGAAGGCTTATCTGCTGAGCTAGATGAACTTTCACGACAAGCACAGGGACAACTTGCCAGTAACACATAGTATTACTATTATTATTATTATTATTATTATTATTATTACCCATTGTTAGAAATTCACTTTTTTTTCCTTTATTATTTTACTCAAACAACCAAGTCAGTGTATGATGATGATGAGTCTTAGAGTTGCTTTAATGTCGTGATTTTTATTTTTGTTTTTATGGGGGAGTTGTAAGAACGAAAAGAAGGGGGAAAAAAAAAATAGAGAAAAAAAAAAAATGTTTAACAACCACATTTATCGTTCTCAATATTGTAGACTTTTTCTTATTTTTCTTGTTTTTATTTATTTATCTACTCCCTTCCCTTTCACCATAAGTGTATTACCAATTTTTCTTTTTATGACTATTTCTTTTCCATTACATTTTTTCTTTCTTCTCTCTTTCAATCTTTGGAAAAAAAAAAAAAAGAAAGTAGTGAGGCAGAAAACAGAGAAAGAGCGTATATATATATATACACATACGCCTGTTTTGTTTCTGTGTGTGTGTGTGTGGGTGATAGAAAAAGAAAGAAAGGTGAGAACGAGTAAAAAGAAGAGTGGAACTAATAAATCCTGATATACAAACAACAACAAGAAAAAAAAAAAAAGAAAAGAAAGATAAAATGAATACTCGTCATAGGAAGTTGGCTCCTATTCCATACAAGCCATCTGAGAAATGGCACCTTATGCATGAGGAGTATTTTCCCATTTTTGTCCCTGACCGCCGTGAACAGGTGGAGTACTGGTATAATAAGACCGCAACCGGACAACAACGGGATGCCTTCCGTCGTATTTGTGAACGCATGTATGCACAGGATCCCAATAAACAAGAGCCAGAATACAGTGCGGCCTATACACGTAATATTGCGATATGTGAAGTAAAAGTGATGTTAAAGGAATATGGAGAAGTACTCTCCGAGTTGGGGAAGAGACTTGCTCGTGTTTGGATTCTACATGAGGCAACTCGTCGAGATAAGGAAACTTTTCGTGAGATCTTCACCGGAGCACAGACTCTCTTTATTCCTGTTTCCGTTATGAAAGCAGACTACGTAGCACCAGATGAGGAGGTTTACAAGGATATGGATCGAAGTAATTTTCTCTCCTCTGTGGACTGGAGCAGTTCAAAGGAGAGTGAAAAGAGACAAGAACTTCATCGAAAGAAGTTTGGTGAAAAACGTTTAACGCTTGAGCAACAACGTCCACGTGTGACCAAACCAAAGAACCAATTTGATGGTATCAATCCTCTCGCAACACTTGGGTATACAGATATCAGTGAAGAAGAGGCTGTAGTGAAACTCCGAGAAAAACTAGAAGAACATGCAAATTCAGATAGATACTACACTGTTGATGGATGTACAGTTTATGTTGCTGGAAACTCTAAAAAGATGAATCCAAGTGTCGCCAACAGTATAAAGGGTGGAGTTATTGCAACCATCTGTGAGGACTGAACAAAAAAGAAAAAAAAAAGAAAAAAAAACTATGGAGAGATAGAGGCTATTCATGTACTTGTGTTTCTCAGAAGAGATGTAAAAACATATCTTTTTTTTTATTTTTATTTTTGATGTTTAATTTCTTTGGTAGTTTTTACTACCTATTGTACCAAGTGCAAACAACATTG